AGAGAGAGAGAGAGAGAGAGAGAGAGAGAGAGAGAGAGAGAATGTTTTACGGAGCGGGTTGTTTAAGCACGTAAGAGATGTATTTACTAGGCCTAATGTCCTGTCTTGTTGTGTGTATGCGTAAGTGCACCTAACCTTTGTAACATCTACAGCCATTTTAAACGACCAAGACAAATTTCTCCCTTAGTGATAAGTAATATAGATTGACATTGTCATTGTCATTGTCAAAAAGGAAAATGCAAAGTTCTATCTAACATTTGAAATGGAGGTTCATGATCGATCACACCAGTCGGCAAGGAACCGGATGATGATGATCTGATGTTTTAGGCTGTTTTGAGTTACCACGACCACGAGGTCAGAAACCAAATGTTCTTTCGACTCTATGAAAATCGTAAGAATATTCGCAGTCATTATCAAAATATATTTTAAAAATTGCGTTCGACAAAGCTTGACCTGTTGTGTTGTGAAACTCAAAAAATTTTTACGTCAAATTCCTCAACACTAGGTACAAAGCTGAGAGAACTTTTTGTGAAATCTGAGGTTGCAATATGACACAACATTGCATGTAGTCTGCTATACGTCCTTAAAGAGTTAAGCTACCCTGTACGCACTACCTAATGCGCAGTCAAGGACAACAGTACATGTAGCAGTAGTAGTTTGCACATTTTAAAATAAGCTTACATTAAAAACTCCTCGCCTTCATTCCCGCCCCCCGAGTCTGTTGTACAGCATCATGGCATAATGATATAGTATATAATGTAAGATCGCCTTGTCATTGTGGTTCACTGAGTAGGAAGGAATATTCATCATGAACGACACAAGGAATACATACGCACAAGAAACTTTTCTTTAAAGGCCACAACCACCTGTGGTTTGGCCACCACAACCCGGCAACAATTAATCTTTCTTTTGGAATAAAACGGTAAGCGCTCAGACAGAGCTTACATGTACCGGTACTTTCGAGCAGAGGTATTGGCTGCATACGAGTCTCCCTACACAAGTTTTACAGTACACCAAACATAGCCTGCAGTCCTTTGCGATAAATGCTGAGAAGGAGCGAATGTACTCAGCTGAGAGGTGGAATAGGTCTGCTCCGTAAAGAAAAGATAGCGTACCCTCAACTTTGCAACTTTGACTGTCCCTTTTGTAGTTCAGGACATTCCTTGCTGTCGTAAGTAGAATTTAGGCTAATTAACTCATTTCATTCATCAGTTCAGTCGTTCGCTCTTGTATCACTCTTCCTTCCTCTTGTCAATTATTTCTCCTCCAATGCGCAGGTCACATGTGTGTATGTGTGTGTGTGTGAGTGTGTGTGTGTGTGTGTGTGTGTGTGTGAGTATGTGTGTGAGTATGAGTGTGTGTGTGTGTGTG